TGATGAGAGGCATCTATTTACTCATCTGTCTTTTTATACCTGCCCCTTGTTAGTTCTTGTTAATTCTTCTCTTTCAATCCTTCATCATGGAAGTCTGCTTACACTCAAACTGATTTAAATCATGTCTGAATTACAGCCGTTCCCCGACGTACAAACACCTCGACTTATGACCATCCGCACTTACGACCAACCTTGCGGCAGCATGTTGTGTTTGCGTGTCTGCGGTCAGGCAGCGGTTTACGTTTCATTCCCTCACAGTATTTTCAGTGTTTGCTTGTGGCCATTATGTCAAGCAAAAGAAAAAGGGCTAGTCTTTTTGAAGACTTAAAGAAAAAGACTATGGGGTATGACTATGACCAAACTTTCACTGCCAGTCACAGTTGGTTCAACCGTTTCAACATGCGTGCAAACCTTCATAATGTGAAATTAAGCGGGGAGGCAGCCAGTGCTGATTTGAAAGCAGCAGAACCTTTCATAGAAGAATTGGATAAGCTGATAAAAGAAGGAAATTATTTTCCAGAACAGATCTTTAATGTTGATGAGACAGGTCTCTTTTGGAAGAAAATGCCCAAATGAACCTACATACATAAAGAAGCAAAAACTATGCCTGGTTATAAGGCTTTCAAAGATCGTCTAACAGTCTTGTTAGGAGGCAATGTTTCTGGGTATAAATCAAAACCCCTCTTGATTTATCGCTCTGAAAACCCTAGAGCCTTCACGAATATCAGCAAGGCTACTTTACCAGCCATTATCACGCTAATAAGAAAGCCTGGATGATACTTACACTTTTTGAACTGCTTCATCCCTGAAGTCAAGTCATATTTTCTGGAGAAAGGAATTCCTTTCCAAATTTTGCTTATTTTGGATAATGCTCCAGGTCATCCTCCATACCTAAATGACTTACATTCTGACGTGAAAGTGGTGTTTTTGCATCCCAACACCACATCTATTCTCCAACCCATGGACCAGGGGGCCATAGCTGCTTTCAAAGCATATTATCTTCGCAACACATTTGCAAAGGCAGTAGCTGCCACAGAATGCGAAAACAGCAAAACATTACATGAATTTTGGAAGGACTACAACATTCTGCATTGCATAAGGAACATTGCTGCAGGGTGGGAAGAAGTCACTCCACAATGTATGAATGGCATATGGAAGAAAATCCTAAAAAGATTTGTGAACTGTTTCAAAGGGTTTGAAAAAGAAAAGGAACTGGAAGACATCTCTAATAACATTGTACAGCTGGCGAAAGAGTGGATCTGGAAATGGATAATGAAGACATACACCATCTGGTTGAGGATGTTGGGGAGGAGCTGAGCAATGAAGATTTCATGCAGCTTGAGGCAGAGAGGGTAGCAGAGGAAGAGAGACAAACAGCCCAAGAAGAAGAAGAAGAAGAAGCCCCCTAAAACTTTGTGATGAAAGAAATGGCTGCAACTTTCAGCTAAATAAATGAAGGAATGCAAATGTTTGAAAAAATGGACCCTGACGTTGCGAGATTCTCAAAGGTGGATCGTTTAATTCAGGATGCCCTGGCTTGCTATAAGGAAATTTATAATGAGAAGAAAAAACAAATTGTCCAGTCCAAAATGGATATTTTTTTAAAGAAAGCCCCCAGCAGTGCTGCCTCCCATACTGAACCAATGCCTTCTAAATCAAAGGAACTGCTGAAATAGAATCTGTTGATGATGTTGATGATGATCTTACTGTAGTTTTTTACTCCTCCAATTCCTCATCCAATTAATTCAATTCACATTACTGTATTTAAATTACTGCATTATGTTTTGTATTTCATGTTCATGTGTGTTAAATAAAGTTTGCTGTTGATGCAGTAGTGTTGTTTTTTTCGTGTGTTTCTATTTTTCGTTGTTGATTGTTGTGTTGTTGGTACTTGGTTACGCTTCGAGTGCTTCGTATGGGATATTTCCGACTTATGAACAAATTGAGTTACGACTAGCTATTCGGAACATAACCCGTTTGTAAGTCAGGGAACGCCTGTAGATTTGTTCTTACAAAGACAAGTTTGATGAAATGATATCTTTTATTGGATCAGTGAAAGACATTGCCTCACCCATCTTCGGTCTCTAATATTCTGGGGTCAATACAGCTCCAGTGACCAACTCATCTGATGAAGTGAGTTTTACCCAAAAAGCTTGTGATGCTATGTATTTTTGTTAGTCTCTAAGGCTGTGTCCAGACTCAGGGGTTTTTTCGAAAAAAGTAGCCTTTTTTCGAAAAAACTTCACCTGCGTCTAGACTGCAGCCACGTTCTTTCAAAATTAAATCGAAAGAATGCGGCTTTTCTTTCGACGGCGGTAAACCTCATTGCACGAGGAAGAACGCCTTCTTTCGAAAGTGCTCTTTCGAAAGAAGGCGTTCTTGAAAGCAAA